TATTTATTTACATTACATAATATAAATTACAAGATTCCACTATCAGCAGTGTCCAATGCATTCAATGCATTTTGATTAAAATTATTAAATAGATATATCACTGCGCATGCTCTGACGCTCAACACTTGATGCTCTCATGTAAAAGCACTTTTAGGTCTGTTCTTTATATTTAAATTAACATGCAGTTATTGAAATAAACATATTAATAAAAAATGTAAAATAAATATATGAAAAAATAAAAATACATGAAATAGATATATTATAAGTATAAATAAAAATATATTATAAATATATATAGATATATTTTAAATTTAGAGAAAGCGAGAAAAATTCAAATTATTATAGCTAAATTTATCGAAAACAGGATTTGCAAAGTGTGTTTTATAAATTTTGTTAGTAAAAGGCGAGCAGAAATATAATAAATTCTGTTAAGGGAATATTATAAATAACACATTGATTATATAAAAACAAGCATATGTAGTGTATGTAGTATATTTAAATAAAACGTACGAATATTGTTTAATAAAAAAAAATCTTAAATATTTTCAAATTGTTTTTTTCGGAAATTATAAAAAAAAATCTTAGAAATCTTAGAATATTTACATATGTAGATATATATGTAATTCTAGAATTAGTTAAATTTAGTAGATACAGATTTTTTCAACACTTTTTTGAAGTGTTTTAATTCGTACTAAAAATGTGTAAGAAAAATTTTCTAAAGAATTATGAAATGATGTATTATGGAAATTCTTAAAAAATATATCTACAAAGAATTCTAAGAAAAATTTTTTCAGGGTCCGTAAGATTTTATATTTCATTCTCGAATTTCACATTATATTACACCCGTTTCCCAGATCTATAATTAATAAACGGAATAGACCACATTCTATTTTTGCTATTAGCGTCATAAACACGTACGCAATAACATAAAATACAATACACAAAATATACTGTGTTATTTCTAATACAGGTTGCACAGCAGAACAGGCATTTTATTTTTTAAATGAAGAGACTTTTATTATTTATCGCTCGAAAACTATATATCTTAACGAGATAATGAATACGGAAATGAATATTTGTTAGATGCACATTGAAGATGCGAATCTGGAGAGATGACTTCGATGAGAATTCCGTAGTGAGAAATAGATAGAATCGCGACCGGGGAAATAAAAAGAATTCACAACAACGCGCTCAAATATTTTTTTATACAATCTTGATAATCACGTCATCGCGAATGCCTTTTGTTTTCATACGTTTACAAATCGTTCCCGACATCACAATGCGGAGGGCACAAAGGCGCTAATATGCTATTATCGCGTTTAATCGTTACAGTACTTGTAAATGCTTTTACAGACGCTTTCTTTACAGACAAATGTGGCTTAAATCTCGCTTTTATTAAGTCGAAATTGCCTATACAGTACGTCCCATTTTAAATGCCTATTCAAAATATCGAAAAACATATTGCGAATGCATATCTTTTTAACGTTTAGAAGAATTAAGTTACTTTATTTCTATTTTATTATGTTCTCTTCTAAACCAAGCAATTCCTGATTGAATTTTTGAAAAATGGTTTATTCTCAAAATATTTAATATTTACTAAATTTAATATTATTTCTCAATATATTTTAGGTAAGCATTTAAAATGGAACATCCTGTACACATATACAATGTATATATAAATATCCCAAAATCACCAAATGTCTACTTAATAATAAATTTTTTTGTTAGTTTGTAAATGTATTTTAATCGACGGGAATGTCAAGATATCAACAATTTTCAAGTTGTAAAACGATTATAAAGAGAGGCTTCTCGCGAACTCTGAAGCAAGTCAAGATAACGAAATTATATTTTCAATTTTGGTTTTCCTTTACAGAGATTTAATTGAAAATTTATTATACATGATATCTGGAAAATTGCTTTAGATGACGTTGTCTCTTTTAACGTTTTTGTTAAAAAAATAAATGCAATTCGAAATTGATCAAAGAAACTGTTGTTAAAAAAAATTTTGATTTTGGGATACTTTATATACGTCATTAAGATCTAATCGATGTGAAACTTTTCAGCTCCAGAATTAAAGTCTGCCGAGTGTTTATTGTGAATGTATGCGCGTGTACACACATGCAGATATCCTTATTAATGTTGTAAGGATGGATATAAATGGTGCATTCACTAGACAAATGTTCACAGAGCTGTGGAAATGTTGCACACCGTAAAGTTGATGCATTAATTAAAACCAATCGATTCGACGTATTGATCTTATTAGAAGTTAGTCAAATATAAATGTACAGGTCGTGAAATTTAATCACAATCAAAGATTTGTCCATAATCCTGTTTGCGCCAGACGTTTCCCTTTCTAATCTCAAACGCAGGAAACGTACAAGAACATAACTAAAAGAGAAAAACCCAATCAGCATATAATATTTAAAAAAAAACATTTTTTAAATATATATTTAATTTTATACTAAATAAATATTTGAAAAATATTTATTATATAACATTTTATTATATATTTTATAATATTTTATAATACTTATTTAATATTTTTACACTAAATAAATATTTAACAAATATTTTTTTAATATTGTGTGCTGATTGGGAATGATGCCTTATTACATGATCGTGCCATGACTAAAGCTCATCACATACGAGTTCGTACATGCGATACATTTAAATCGATTGTCGAATATATATATATGATAAAAGTGATCGCATCGCCTGGAGAGAGGCAGAGATAAAGACAGAGACAGCGTGAGAGAGAAAAAGAGCCAACATTCCTTCCATTCCTCCTTCATTTTCGTTACAAGTACATCGAAATGTAGCGACATTTAAGATAACTATACAATGCGTCAAGCGGATAAGCGTTTTGCCTATCGATCGTCGTGCGTTCGTGTTCTTTGATCTGGAGCGCATGCAGAATCGCTTATGAAACATTTAGAGAACGAGAGCGTTGATGATAATGCAGGAAAAGCCAGCGTTATCAAGATAAAAACATGTAGCACAAAATAATTATTAAGATGAAATTCATTAAACTCCAATGATTTTAGAGATCAAGTCGTAATAACATGAAATTTTTGCTGTATATTTTTAATCAAGTTTGATCTATGGATCCAAAACATTAATAATTTCGCTCATTACACGATTTAAAAGTATTAAATTATTTTTTAATTACAATGATAGACAGAGAGCGATTATGAAAATAAGGTTTATAACTTAGGGTTTGTTCTACTTCATCTTGATAACGCTGGGGTGAAAGATAATCAGCATCTCCTTTATCCACATATCTTCTTTGCAAGCTTTTTTCAAATTCTTGACCGATTCTGATAAATTGCATTTGTATTACGTATGGTATTACGACTATCATAGAGTCATAAACGAGAAATTACGTCAATCTTTCTTCTCTTACATGTCCTATAATCGAGATAAATTAGTTTTTTTATTGTGTTCGATGACGTCAAAATATACCAAATCCTGTTTATCTCCTTAATCGTCATACTAAATGAAGTAAAGTTAGAGATCAAACAGAATCGAACGCAATTTCTGCAGAATTTTTACAATTAATTTGTGTTGTATTGTATAAAGGAGGCCATTTCGTAAATTAGTTAGAATATGAGAAAAAAAATTACAGAACTAATTCATCTCAACATATTTTGGAATTACTTATATTCTTATTTCGTATTTTAATATATTTTTTCTTTCCAATCCTGCTTAATATCGTAAAGAAATACATGAGTAAGTAGAAAAACTAAAATGTGAAAACTTCTCTTTGTATCTGTACTGAAATATTTCTAAGGATTATATCCAATTTTGAAGGAGTGCAGAAGACACGTCATTAAATTTTAGAAACAATAAAATGATTTATATAAATATAAATTATTAGCCGCGTTTACGTGATTATGGATCATAAAGGATGATTACTGTGGATCAGTACATTCTTGTAAAATGTGACGATCGAACAATATGATTAACGCAATTTCTAGCTTTTGCTATCTCAATTCAATGAGTGCAGCGAAGACTCAGGAACTACAATTGGACGAGATGCTCTCTTAGTGCCATTTTAATCGGTAAAGCTCGACGATAATGAAAACGCTATGCTGAAAATGACCGCAATGTATCCTGAATAGAAAATGTCAGCTTGAATGTTTAGCACTTATTGGAAGTTTTTCACGAGTGATTGTTCATTTGTGATGTGAGATGTCTTTAATTTTGAGAAAGTCGGCCGGTGATTGTAGAAAAGTTGTAATTGGTTGCAACAAACGTTTGCGACGATTTTTAGCTTAGCATAAGTAAGCGGCGCGAACAACGAGAGCGAAGTGAAGTAGACATGATACTATCACAAGACTACCACCAAAACGCGCCGTGTCGAAAATAAATAAATACGCTAGCAAACTCCATTACAATCCTACGTTGTCGATTTCCTAAGAACTTAGATTTCTAATACTCCGCATGAATTACAGATCTCTTCGGTATGGATTAAGTTCTCCATTAAGTTCAAACTAATCATAATTATTCGTATGTATTAATAAACTCTCTCGTTTTACCTCTCTTTCCTAACGATCGATTGCGCGTCAACAGAAATACTTGTTCTTGCATCGAAGGCAAAACAGCTCGGAAGATTGACAAAAATTTAACAAATTTTTTCTGAAATTGTTAGATTATCGACAAATAGATAATACAAATAGAATAGATGTTACAGAATGAAGACGTAAAATATAATGGTATGATCTTGGAAAAATATTTTAGAAAATAATGTTTGAAGAAATAGTTTTAGAAAATGTTTGAAGTAAAAATTTCGATATACCACATTGTTGAGAGACAATTCCTGTTTAAAACCGATATATTATGGAATATTGATTTTTATCACGATATATATCCTCATCATGCATACGTTAAAATGAACAAAAGAACGAGCGAATCAGCAACGAAAATATAAAAAAAGAAATTTTGATCAGTTATCAAATATTCTCTTATATGTTTACTTTAATAATTTCTTAAAACCCTGTGATTCCTTTCATACACAAATATAGCACGAAATCATCGAAATAATTAAGGATGTCAACAGTTTTCTGAGAGATATAGCGTGTTTAAAGTGTCTTAAGGTTTAATTAAAACCACACACATTGCGCTTTCTGAATACTGGATGGTTTACGATGTTATTGCACGTTAAAGTGCGCGCACCGTGCTTCTGCCAGGAGAGACGAGTAATTCTATCTCACAGCACTAACGAACGTTTAGATGATAAAATTATTTAAGTCCAGATACGACGGCGATACGCAACTCCCCGACTTCATATTCGAATGTAACTTATGTCGAGTAACGAAAATATCTTATTCTCCTATATTTGGAAAGTAAATCGCGGCTTCGAGATACATATATATACGATACAATATGTACTAAGTTATATCCGATTTCGAAGGAGCGCAGAAGACACACCGTTTAAATTCTATCGGCATAAAGGATCACATGCAGTTACAGGTCGTAGAATTGGTCGTTAGTTCCGTACGTTACGCTGTCTAGAGAGCACTCCGCCTGCATCCCACCGATCACACGCGATTAATTATTCTTGCTTTGCACTTGCACGATCGTTTGAAGATCGACAATGGTCTTCTCCAGCATTTCGAGCCACGAGACGTTGGTCAACGAGCAACGCAATTGATTTGTACAACTATTAGCGGTGGTAACCAAACTCGGCGGCGACACAGAGTCGCTGATGCTAGTGGCGATAGCCTCCGCCTGAACATTGCCCGACTTGTGTCTGGCGGTGGCGGCGACCTTATCGTCCCCGGAATCGGAAGACATTGTATCGTTTGTTGCGTCCGCTTTGTCCATCTCTGTCTCGGAGATGTTGTTCTCCGTGTCGATGTCCTTGATCGGCGCACATAGATCCGTGTCTGTCGGCTCGCTATCGCTGCACAATTTTCGTCTTTTGGAGGGTGTTTCCATTTCCGGCGATGAACGATTCTCCTTCACTGTAATAGTCCGAGTTCGCGACAATAGGGTTTCTAAAGCCGGGAGCAAACTGGAGGGTGGTTTTAGTCTCGTGCTACTGCTATAAACGAGAGCCAAGGCGCGCAAATCACCGGTCAGTCTATGCGCCGATGCCTCAACGTCCACTGCTTCCACCATCGTCGTCAACGAGCTAACCAGATTGTCGATGAGTAAACATGTTTGCTCAGTCAATACATGATTGGCCAGCTTCGGAAAGAAAGTTTTGAGGAAGGCGTGTATCGCCGGTACCCCCAAAGACGATCTCTCGTCCAGTAACACAGCATCCACATAATCCACGGTATAGGAAGAACAAAGGAGAGATGCGATGTGCTTTCTGTCTATGTGCGTAGCGGCGTGCACGTCCAACCATAGCCTCGGAAACAGAGCCAAGTGCAAAGGTACACCTGCAAGTATAAAATAAATCAGGATTCAACGGATCACAATCGCGTACTCGCGCTCGGCACCTTGTATTGCGTACTCACCTTCGAATCCAAGCATAGCACTTAAATTCACTAACGAATCTGTCATGCAATCGTTATTAATCGCTAATCTGCACATTACGTCTATGAGCTCGTGATAAGGTAAGTAAAATTCAAGCAGAGCGCTGTCATACTCCGGGTCCACTCCTTTTGACGCCTCCAGCTGAGAGTGAGGTACCGCCATTTGTACCATTGGCCTGGCGGGTCTCGTAGGCATCTTTCCAGGTGGAGTAGACCTTCTCGGAAGGTACGGCCCGGGAGGGACAGCAGCATGAGACTCTTGAAGAGCTGCGTGGCAGTGTGAGAGCAACGGTGCTAGGATCAGTATTGCTTCGGCAGGAACGAGCATGACAAGCTCTTTCAAAAGGTCTATAGCCAGATTTCTCATATCCGGCGGGTTGTACGTGTTTAGTAGCGTCGCCAGTTTACGTAGTATATCGGGCCATTCCTTACAATTAGCCAAAATGTTTCTAGCGTCCGGTCCGTCCCTTGCGGTACGGACGCATCGCACGAGTTCGACAATAATAGCGATCAACTCGGCTAGATCGCCGGCAACGTGACACGCCGTCGCTTCGTGATACATGATATGTAGCATATGAAAAGCTTCGAGAGCCATGCTTAAGCCACCATTGTACACAACATACAAACGATCGTCATCCGATTCAATGAGAATTCTAAAGAACAAAAATAGATAATCTCGTTATGTAAGGCTTTTTGACTTTTAATGTTAACATTAAATCAACGTCATCTGGAGTATATTTTATTTAGAGTATATTTAATCGTATCGTTCATGTCTTTTATAACGTTCTCCGTAATTAAAATATAGTCATTGATATTTCTACATACCGAAAAGCAGAAATGAGAGTTGCCCAACACGAACGACCATCGAGTCCTTGTAAATAGGAGGACAGCGTGCCTCTTCTGAATGATGCGATTTCTGCCTCTTCTTGTTCCGTTTGATCAGGATGTCTCGCGACTAACAATTGCATCAATTTAAATAATTCATCCACTGCCTATATATAGAAAAAGAAAATAAAGTCATATTAAAAGGAGTAAAACTTTATCTTAATAATGAATCAGAATTTATAAACAAATAATGCCCATCTCTGATACACAAGGCTTAATTTACGAAAAGCTTACAGTTGAATACTGAGTAGGATGGGGAGTGATGTTCTTAAAAGCCCATTGAATATTCTGATGCGCAGCCAACTGTCTTGTGAATGTACGCGATTGCTGACAACAAAGCCTCAAGAGACCGTAATATGCAGGTAACATAACTCTATTAAATAACACGACATCCTGGTCTTCGTGATCAGCTCTGAAATTAATAAAAAAATAACACTAGAAATACAATAAGTATTTTACGTTGAATGTTAACTCTTCGCATTCGATTATAATCTTTAGGGATAATGTGCAAAAATGAGGTAATATCTCATATCATTATTGCATATTAATCTCAAATGATGTACAATAATTTTAACATTAATGTAAAATTGCTGTGATACAAACAAATACAAAGATCATAAAGACAAGATTGTAACACTCACAATATGTAATTAAATGCTATATTTTTAGTTATGTGCGGATTGTGAAGTATCATAGCAACGTTTTCTGGACAATCGGAGCAGACGTGATACCAGAACAAAAGTACTGCTTGCTTATTATGATGCACCGGAATGCTTGGTTCCGATAGCTTTGGATGGAAAAGTGTCCATAGATCGTTAAGATATTGGCCGAACTGCAAAATAAGCATACATATATTAAATTTGTTGACCTTTCTTGCTGAAGCTAAAAGGTTGTTTGTATATACATGTGTGTATGTGTGTGTGCTGTCAATTTACTCACCATTAATTTTTCGGTCTTAGAGACTACGCAGTATGTGAGCAATGCAAAGTAGGCAGTGAGCTTCATTGTACCGTGAGTTTGTATGTCAATGTAATGTCGTGCGGGCTGAAGCAGTCTCAAGAGTGCCGTAAATATCTGATGCAATATCAAAGTAGCTTCAGGCGATAGTTGAAGTTCTCTAGACGTATTACAGCCTAAACCAAGGCGATGAGCGCTACGATAACCTTGTCTAAAATGCGTAGACGGAACTAAAGATACCAATAAAAAGGCGGCGGCCGAGCGAACTCTTTGATTGGAGTGCTCGAGAAGGTAATGTTGTAGCCATGTATTAAGCTCTTGCAGTACCCAGGCGTGGGCAAGTTTACTCCTCGTGACTGCGAGAGCTAGCCACTCGAGTGCACCGTGCGGAGCGACTCTTGCCGCTTCCCATACTCTACCGAGAATCAGTTGAGTCATGCACGGCAGTCCGCTCAACCCTGAACTTTCTGTCAGCAGCGTCAACAATTTGAAGAATGGCTGGCACACGTCAGTATGCTTCATTATCGCCTGAAATATCATTGTTACTACATGTATTGCTAATCTATCATTCCAACGGCACAACGAATGAATCAAATTCCTTGTTTGAGTGAGATTTATAACATCTCGCGTCTGTTGATATAAAAAGGGAAAGCCTTTGCCACCCGCTACAGCACTTAGGTCCGATTGTGATAGCGCCAATCTATGATCTTGTCCTCTGCTGCGTTCGACCAGATATGCTATCAACGTGATCATCTTGTCCAGAGAAGCGGGTCGGAGTTTTTCCGAAGGCACGGTCACGATCTCCTCCTCTTCTTCCTCTTCGCTGACCGCGTCGACGAACTCGTGCGTCTTATGCCCGAGATAAAAATTTACCATCGTGGAAATGGCTTGCACTCTGATTAAGAAAACAGCTTCGTCATCGCCCATCTTGCTGAATTCGTATAAGAAGCTAAAGTACTCGGTGAGATGCTTAAGGTGTTGCTTAGCGTGTTCCATGAGTGACAACAACATTCTGACGAAACGCGTAACGCAAGATCGTGTGCCAACGGTGCTGACATCGTTCTCTTCATCACAGAGGAGGTACAGGGGTGCCTGTGTAGCGCGCAATCGTTGAATCACGTGAATGCATAACCGTTGAAACATCTGCCTAACCATCTGATTAGGGCACTTGACTAGAATCTGAATAGGCCACCACGAATTGCCGGCCATCCGCTCGAGAAATCTCGCACACGCGCCGGCCGAACCGTTGAACTGTTTCGTCAGCAATTCCACCCATTGCACCATCGTCGGCTTCTCCTTGGCGTGTATGAACGTCTCCATGAAGAAGGACGTGGATAACTCCGCAGACATCTCCGTGATATCTGGCTGTACGGAGAGTAACGTCTGTGGTATGTAGCCGCATATTTGCCACATAAATCCGAAGTACGTATGTTCAAATATATTTTTGTCTTGTAGGAAGTGCATGTTGTCCTGCCAAATCCAGTCTTCGAGCTCCTTGTTGAGTTCCAGCGGCGGCAATTTATTCATATTATTGCGCACCAGTGAAGACGACGAGGATCGCCCGGTATTACTATCAGTATTGTCAGTGGCTGGACTTGAGACGGTCGCCTCTTCTTCTTTTGTTTGTTCGCTAGGATTGGCGCACCATTCGTAAAATAACATATACGCCGAGTTGGTTTTTTCAAAGCTAAAGTCCATGAACTTGTCTGTCACTGAATCGTACGTCTTGCTGGTCATCTCGCCACCGAAACATTCGGCCGCGATCTGATTCGGATCGAATGGTTTGACCTCGGCGTCATTGAACAGAAACCATTTGTCTTTGTTGGGAGACGTGCGATCCCGGATGAAACTATAATAATGCCCGCCGTCCGCCGTTCCTGTGTGAACGGTCACGCCGATCAGATCGTACTGATAATGCTCAACATCTTCCTCCTCTTTCTCTGTTTCGTCCGACTTGGAATGTCCATCGTTCTCGGATTTTCTCTTCTCGGATGCTGCTTTCTTCTCATCCTGGTAGTGTTGTGGCATGAGCTTTTTCTCAACGTAACCGGACATATCCAGTCTAAGTGGAAAACTAAAATGTGTGTTGACTTTTTCCTTTAGCATGGTGCCCATGTTAAAGGTATAGCGCATTGTATTAAAACACAATATATGCGGTAGCTTCTTGAAGCACGCTCGCTTCTCGGCCCGCGCTTTCTTACCGCATTGCGAGCACGTGTACATGTTGTCGCCTTCCAGCGTATCCTTGACCGTGACTTCGTCTAAGCTCTCATAAAGATTCCGCATATCTGCTACTTGGCATCGGACGGTATAAAACTCCTCCAAAGTCCTACTAACGTGCTCGCAATCAAGCGAGACGACATTGTTAGATATCACGCCGCAGAACAAAGTTTTGACCAGATTCTTTAGATCGGACGTCATTTCCTCCAATTTGGAAACTAAATCGATGAAAAATTCAGCCATGTCTTTCTGCTCACCAGTATTGAGCGGCTCGTGGTTCATTGTGTATACACGACAAAAACTTCTTGGGTTATACGCTTTTCTTTCCGACTCCAACAAGTAAGCGAACATTCTTTGTAGTTCTCGTAAGGTCAACTGGTGTTTATTCGCACGACTACAATCAGCACCCAATATAGAAATGCGCGCCTGTGGCATCATATATAGATGCTGCATACAACTAGCCATGTAACATGTCGCGCCCAGATTTGTCAGACCTACATAGCCACAATCCGAACGTCCATCCTCATGAGGCCAATAATCCCACGGATACGGGGAATGTGGTCCTGGACGGTGTTGGACAAGCAGCTTTTCGTGTAAAATCCTATAATTGTCAGGCGCAGATTTCACCAATTCGACTAAGAGATCGAAAGCCGCCGATCTGGATGCTTGGCTTTTACACTTGGGTACATGCTTGCTTCGTGGACTAGGCAAGGCGAACAGGAAATCAAACACTTGATTCAATAAATTCTGACCGATCTTACCCTGCTTGCAGGGTGGATTGTGCGTCATTATGTTACATGTGAGATTGATCAGTCCGACCAGAGCGTCATCTTCCACCGTGTTATGTCGCGTCTCTAAATGTTCTCTGTTAAGCACGGAGTCAATCACCCGGATAGCCAACGCTTCGAGATCGACCGTAGTACCGGAGGTGTCATCCGCTGAGCTTTCTCGAATTGCCTCGTCTGGAAGAGAATCTACCAAACGACATACCAACCAAAAATAGTCTTTGCAAGCTGGTCCATAAGGTTCCTTTCCTTCGTCTAAAACAGTGTGTAGATGCAGCGGTAGATCTGGCTTGCGATGAGAAGGTTGCATAGCTTCGGCGATCACAAGATGCTCCAGTAAAGTATTTAACATGGGTACGATCAATCCTGGCATCTGATCTGAGCTATCATCTGAGCTATCTTGGGCGCCAGTGCTACCCAAGCATAATCTGTATAGAGCCGTACATACTTCGCGTCTCACTGCCGGCTCAGGATCTTCCAATATCAGCCTTCGCAACCACGTTTTCCCAAACGGTTCGGATGATGAGAACAGATATTGTCTGACTGCCGGATCACTGTGCACCCAACAAACTAGTAGTGCCATGGCATAATGTATCACTTGAGATCGGCCAAAAAGTCCAGTCTTGTAGTGATTTGGATCAAGCGGTAACGAAGCATCATTTAAAATGCTCGTTATTCTTGGCATCACTGTGTCGACGTTCATCATTTTCAACATCGCTTCGCTGAGCTTGGGCACTAGCAATGGTTTGTCCGCTTTGTTACGTTTTTTCTCTTCTTTTATGACACCGAGATAACAAAGTTGTTTCAATAGACTGGCGAGACAATCCTGTTGCCACTCACTGCCGTCTCCCTGCTCCAAGCAACCCGACATAAAGATGTCAAAAAGATGCCGAAGTCCACCGTATTGCACGAACAAGGTGGACCAAGCCATATCTTTTTCCTTATCGTCATGATTGTCATCCGCGTCGCCACCACCTTCGTGTATCGTCGATACAGTGGGATTACTAGACGATGGTTGATTCGTCGCACCTCGCCGACTCAGAGACTCGACTATGTAAAGTGAATACATCAATTTCTGCGGACTCGCTGGATCAAGTAATTCCTGAAGAGAAGTTTCACCGAGTTTCTGGAAACCTCGCAACAATGTTGGACTTGTTGGTAATAAGGTGAGCGTATCCCAAACTCTTCTCGAGAGCACTTGTGCCTTTGTATGAGGAATTTCTTGGCCTCCTTTCACTGTCGTTTTCATGGCGCTGAGTGTTCTCATAAGTGTAAACAGTTGCTCGAAATACTGCGGTCGAAGTAATAATAAAGTCGGTAAGGACTCTCTAGGAGGAGGTGGTAATAACGAGGGCGAATCCATATCTCGTTTGCTACAACGGCCACCATTCCCTCTACTGGCGCCGGGTGAAATGAATACCAATTGCCCATCCTTGAAGCCCATCTCTTGTAAGGTTTTCTCGTCAAATTCGATAGTCAATTCCTGACCTTGGGTAATCATTCTGATAGGACCATCGGTAAGCAACGATCCTAAAACCGATCCACCATTTTGAGCGGCGTTTGCAGAAACTGCTGATTTCTCTTGAGTGTTCTGCGTGTCGTCCCACCATTTAGCGACTTCGGCCCGCAAATCTGCTACATAGTCGGTATTAAGAAGAGTGAAACTCGTTTTCTCCGGTATGCCAGCGGGCTGCACAAAGATTCTTAATTGTTGGCCTTTCTCAGACGTGTTCATGGCTACGTGACTGGCGGCACCTCTGCCTTCCAACACCCAGCGACGCAAATGATAGGCGTACCGTTTTCGAAAGGCTTCCAAATGTGTCCTTAGTAGGAGCAAAGCGCGCTGTATACAACGTAGACTTGCTTCCTCGTTAGTTTCGAGATCAGCACTGGCCGCCGCAAGATGCGTCATGCATTGCGATACAAATTCCGCCTCTTGTGACAGCTGTCGTGACATGTAATAACCATTGAGATATTGTATAGCTGCCATACTGACGTCTGTGCTTTTCGCTTTCAGAGCAATTCGCCACAGGAAATCCATGCCTACCGAATCTATATCCCTGAGTGGTCTATCCATGTGAGCGGCTGCCAAGCGTGCCAGGTTGCACAATTGTTGGAACAGACTCAGGCCTGTCATACTGATGGTTTCTGGTGGTAGACTCGGTAACTTGCGCATGCACAAGTGTTTTAACGTATCCATCCCTAAAGCATGCTGCTCCGTAGATTTTGCTTGGCTGAGCAACCAACTGAAGAGTTCATCCGCACAAACCGGATCCTGTGACAAGCATTGCCATAATATATCCACTTGTTCTAGATTCAAGCGAAAGCAATCGGGTGAACCCAATGGCGAGAAGATTGATGACAGAAATTGCAATCTAACTTGTATCTCCGTTTGATGCGAATATAAATTACTCTTCGGTCCTGTACCAGTGTAAGTTTTCAAATTATTAAAGAAGTGTTTCATCATACCACGTTCACGATCAGCCCAGGTTGTAATCGTATGCGCGTCCATCGCACCGAATTGTTGAAAACTCGCGAGCAATTTCGGCAATAGTCTTAGAGATATAACCACGGAACGATTGGTCGCCAAATTCTCCAAGCAGCCTTCTATGAACTTCATCGGAATCAAGCGATCAACATTGAAACATAAAAGATTACATAGCGCTTTTTCCGCTTCCAAGGCTAGACCTTCTCCTAGTTGACCTATCTTATCGTCCTGAAGTAGATCCCACAGCAGCGTGTTACCCGGCTTACAAACTGTATCCAAATTGAACTGCGAGCTCAATCTCGTGGCTGCTTGTCGAGCGGTTCGTACTTGCGACTGCTGACAGACCGATCTTCTAATCGTCATAGTCGAGTGTGAATGATGAGGATGATAAGCTTGCATTTGGATAGCAGTTAAGTGACGAGCGGCTAATTGTGCCAGTTCCTCTTCGCAACCGCTCTCTTCGCCATCAAAGTCGGCCATGTTTTTTTCACTTTTGTTCGATATTCTACTACTGTATGAACCCTCTTCGTCAGAGAGCATCTCGTCCAATCCCGAAGGTAAAAACGTAGGACCAGATGCATGCACCAAACCAGCAAGCTCAGATATCACCGCGCCAGGGCCATCCGCAGCAGCGAGTACACCCGCTACATCACTATCATCCTCATCGTGCGAACTGTCTCCCGAATCGGCCGTTCGATCCACGTTATATCCTACTATAGACATGTATTTATTTTTATTTCGTCTTAATAAAGCTGCCGTGGTTGGAACTTGTTGTTCATTTGGATCTAAAGCCATCGCTTGTTGCTTAACGCGATCCAACGCGTCGACGCTTTTTGGCTCGTCCAAGGAGGCCAAAGCATCCAGACTACTATTTAGCATATCTTCCGTTCTGCTTTTCCCATCTACGAGAAGATCTTTTGATTTTGTATCTTGACCAACGATATCTTCCAAGGTTTTCTCAACGGCACTTAAAGAGCGCTTCTGCGGTCTCTTTCGTTTGCGCAGGATTTTTCGCTTTTTCTTCTCATGTACAAACATTTCCTCCGTATTAGACTTCTCCGTGTCCGCTTCAGCGTCAGATCCGCTCTGTTTGCTCTTTACCTCTTCTCGAATGACATTCGTCGACGAGTCCTTGGTCAATTCTCTGTTACATTCAAACTTATCGGAATTCATGCCTTCAATATCATTGAGACTTGATTCGATGGTGGTGGTTGTCAGATCCTTTCCTTTATAATGTCCTACAAGTGTGCAAACAAAATGTAAACAAACAGACCAAAATTTCGTTTAACAAATTACGTACCTTCGCCATCACTGCTGTAGCCTCTGGGTTGCTTTCTAGGTGACGGTCCATCCGATAACGTTGGACTAGGTTCCTCTTCATCATCCTCTGGGCTGCTACCATCCATTCCGCTTGGATCACTACTGCTACTTCCACCGACTCCACTTCCGGTACTCCTTAAAATTTCTCTGTTCTTCATTACTAAACCTCTTGGATAAGCGGAGCGACCGGATGTCCAAATAAATTTGATTAAAGCTGATGCTAGAAACAAACTCTGCTCTGTGTGATCCTTAGGTTCCAATTTGCCTAGCAGAGAGTACAAGTGGAGTACGGGAGTAGGAGCTAGATGTTTGACCAAAGGTGCTAACAGATCGTAAACCGGACGGCCGCAATGCTTCAACTGTGCCGCTTGCCACATAGTGTCCATGTCCGAGGATGTAATTCTACCTTCCATAGCTAAAAAGCTTAATATAATGTGACTCTGTTTAATAACCTCTACGTGTAAGTTTGGTCCGAATATATGAGCTATGATGTTGTTTTCGGTCAACCAAGCAGCAAGCGCATGTCCCACTTGTTCGACCTCGGCAACAGCCTCGTTGTTGCAGACCTCATTAGACGCGGTAATGTGAGCATTTATTTGAGCTACTCCAGCCAGCCTCATAGTCAGAGTTGTACTAGTAAAATATTTAAATGCCAAGTCAAGCCCGTCACGATCGAAACTTGGTAATACAGAGTCTATCGGATCCTTCACGGCCGTCCACATAAAATCTAAACATGCAACAAGAAACATCACGTAGGTGTTCATATAGAAATAAAGAATTAGTTTATATATTCGCAAATGCGAATCAACAATACAGTGCACATGTATGCTTTTAATCTCAGAAACATACCTGCCATGGTCCTAACAGCTGGTGTACGCAATTCCTTGTCCTCTAAACGACACATATACTTCATAACACGACTGCGGAATGGTATAAACAGTTGAATGACACTGGCATAGTTCAACCAAAGTTTCAGATTACAAATAACTGCAACCATAGAATGCGCAAGGCTAACAGGCAGTGTGCTTTCCATGTCGAAACAAGCGGATACCAAATTAAAGCCTCCTTGATGGCAAAATATAGATACCGCGCGGATCAAAGGTGCCGGTACTTCGGGGTCGTGCGGCTCGCAGTAACCACCTTCGTCCTATTAATTTATAAAATAATCAACGTTATTAATCAATCTAGAATGCAGATAAGTAATAAATTGAACAAAAGTTTTACCTTGACGGGAGCTAAAGGGTTAATTACACCGCCGTGTTTCATTGCAATATAGAGAGGGAAGTTGAGTAAAAAAATTTTCGAAAGAAGATGAAATAATCTTTCCTTTTCATATTGAGACCACAATCCTTGTTTCGTCTGAATTTCCACTTGTGCGTGCTCTGCATTGTCGTTAGGTTTTCGCTTATTATTTTTCTCTTCCTCATCCTTTCCATCCTTAGGCGTCTCTTTAACCAGATCTCCCTGCTGTTCATTTTGCTGTATAACTTGTAACTGTTGTAACGTACAGAGCACAACACTCTGAGTTAGCCTTATAAATCGATCAAAATTTTTAATTTCACGATAACAGCACATACATTGTCTAGAAAAGAAGAGATAATCATAAAAATAATAATATTGCATGATTAATATTTACAATAACAATACGTATAAAAATAATTATAAAAGTTAACCCTTTCGCTATGAGAAGTTAATAAACATTCATTACAAATATTGGCTGTAAAGACATGATTTTAATTACAACTCGTTGAAACAATTTTCTATAGATTCTTAGCCAATTTATAATATTCTAGACAAATTAATTTATATGATAGAACTGTGTTACACATTAACAATTTCATTTCTCAGCGTGAGAAAAAATATAAAATCTAACTAAGAATATACAAGGATTTTACAATACTTCTTTCAGTGCTTCTAATTTGTAGAGCTATCTGATACCCTTACAGATTTTTTTTTTTATTGATATCTTGATTACTTTATTTACATCTTGAATATTCTTTTTGTTCTTTAATATTAAATTATTCTTTCTGTCCTTCCAATAAATTAATATATTATTCTTAGCATCGCGAAAAGATTAACAAGCAAGGATATAAAAAAAGTATTAAAGTTAATTAGATTGATTAATATACCTTTGCACCCACTGGTTAACATAATGCAACGTCGTGTCCACATCTGTTACATACAATGTTGCCAATGCATCTTGCTCCTTCGACGAACGTTCGTCATCTAAAAAAATAAGTTATCAGGACTACAAAGAAAATCGGTACAAACTTAAAATACTATTCACAAGAATATGTTTCCTTTTTTGGATAATCTTTCATCTCGCGCGACATAAATAAAAAAACATACAATGTTAGGTTATTCAACAAACATACAATATCTCGAAAATAACAAATATAAAATTTAAATTTTATAAATAAATAAATTTATTCATTCAACTGAATGAAAATATTCATTCAACAAGTTTATATGAATGAATTTAAAAATCATGAATGCCAATTAATATCGCTTAGAGTATCAAAAGATCAATCATAAAATCTCCAGTGGGGAATTTCCGACAATGCTGATTGAATGAATGTTTTCGAACCTAAGAGATTTTTCGACGAGCTTCGTCGGAAAACAATCGTTATACAATCCACGCGTTTAATGTCCACATCTCTACCAATGTAGATTACTTTCACTTGTTTAACGCTCTTTTTCTAATTATCTTATCTAATCTTATCTTTTTCTAATTCTCAGAGCTAGAGAAACATAAAAAATATGTTAAATCGAGATTAAAGGCAATCTACATCGGTAAAAAGACGTAAGAAAACGTGCCTCTTTTGTTCGAGAACTCCATCGTAATTCAAAAAGCGTCGTAACGTTCGAATTGAAAAAATTATAACAGAAAATTATTTATCCGTTTAGGAAAATGATGCGGAACGTAGAAACGTTGATAGAACAAAGCGAGTCTCGGCGTTCCTCGGCCTCGGTCTTTGAACGAAAGACTCGCCGACCGTTAAGGTTATAAGACGCTACTCCGCTCGGTCGTGTTCGACGCGGACAAGACGTCCCGAGAGCAAAGAAACGAGAACGCGTCGCGACGGCGTTTCACCGTTCCTCCAGATTGACTTCATCGGAGGTGAAATCCGTCGGCGAGATCTCGGCCGCGAGCGTGAATCCGCTCGAATAGGTTAAGAATCGGTGGGGGGGAGCCAACGCTACTGTGGGCGCAATATTATCCACTTACAGGAGAGCAGAAGATCGTGAAAATCGACGCACACATCGCACATGGTGCCCGGATTGTTTTAGCCTAGCGAGAGGCCCTCGGTCACGTCAAGTTCATCACTCGCGCTCACCGACGCACGTTGCCGACAACGATAAATATTATTAAACATCCCCCGTGTGCGCTCACGACTGTCCCCTGACGGTCACCATATTGCTTTTTGTGCGTACACTCGCCGCTCACTTCAAGCGAGGCGCGTCGCTTCGCCCTCGCGGAGGAGTCGCCTTCGTCAGCTCCGAAAAGGTTACGGATGCGACGACGACACGTGTCACACGTTGCCGTCCGTTGGCCGGCCCGCGATTTCGAACCCGCGATCGTTCGTAAACGCGGGCACGCTCGACGCCGATCGGGTTAATTAAATTTTATCGGTTTTTAGCTCGTCGCGAACGTCATTGTGACAGAAGACAGCTGATCGCCACCATGTTGAATCCGCGGTGCGCGTCGCGATTTAAAAATCCATTTGCACTTTCCCGGAAGCAGGCCGCGCGCGCGATCTGTTACGTGCGCGATGCAACGTAAACGCGTGTAAAGAGAATGGAGGAGAACGAACGGAAAGCTAAAATCTAAAACGAGACTGTTGCCATCTCTTTCTCCCTTCTCCCTCCTCACTCTTCGTGTGTATTTCTTGAAACATTTTCTTCGCGCTACTTGCCCGTGGAAAAGCTAATTCATGCTCCTTCCAGAGGATTTTTCGATTTGAACGTTATACAAAGTTATTTCTTACTTTATGATATTATGTTTGCGCTTTTTATGTTATGTTTGACACTTTTATCGTTTCTATGCTTCATGGCTGAGGATATATTAGATAAGTTTTTATCAAAGAGTATTTATCAATAAGAAATTCGTATTGTATCACGCAAAACAATTAACGAGTAAAAAAAGTGTGTTTTTGTTATCTTTGTGATAATTTTTTATTAAAAAAAAGTGTCGGCTTATCACGCGCTTTTGTAACAATGAAAAGTATGTAAACAAATCCTGATAAAATTGAAGGAAGGAGGGGGTCGAGATGGGGAGGGGAGGGGTGACAGCTGATTCCTTCGCATCTCTTTTGAACTGTATTCTAATCAACATTTAATGGCGAGTCATCAGGGACGTATGAAATGCAAGCGCCCTTTAGACGATTTCCTAGATGCGTTCCGCAATACAGCAATTATGGAATATTGAACCGTATGCAAATTTCATCATGCAGGCAACTTTGAACAAACTCCGATTAATCGGCCTGGCGATCAATTTGTTCAATCATACTCGTGATATTTTAATAAGATGGATATTATTAATTTCTTTTCATTTTATATAAATTCGGAAAAAAAAGATCAATAAATTAAATAGTCAGAAATTTTTATGTTAAGCAATTATGCCGACTGAATGAATTATCTAATTAAGTTAAGAGAATTAATATAATTATGAAATCACAGCATATGGAATATGCTGGGTCTGTTCTTTTCAGTCCTTTTCTTTTATGTAAAGTTTTTATAATTTATAATTGTAGTGTTTATAGTTTTAATATATTTTGTATTTTTAGTATAAACTTTTCTAGAGTCAGAGAAAATATAAAATCGAAAAGAATATTGAAATAAATAGTAAAATTTAATAATAATAACAATTGTACATATAATAAAGTAAACTTTCTTTCGATACTCGCAGATAGGATTATACGTTTACCGCTTGTTCTTGGCATTTGAATATATCCAAAAATTATTTTATATAACTGAAATGTGTGTGAAACAATATGAATTACTTAAAAATAAGTAAATAAATGAGATAGATATTCGATATTTTTCAGTGTTCCTTCCTCTTTAATTGGAATCTCTTTGATCAAAGGAATGCGGAGGATACTATAGGATGTGTAAAGACAATAATAAGACCCTTTCCATTCTTTTCAATTTAAGAAGACACAGTGTAACATATAATCCTCGTTGTTTGCCAAATGTTAAACAAAAGATTAAATGATCACTGGGGGTCACGTATACATTATGTCGCTTGCTGGTAAACACCAAATGTAATGACAGAAAAATAGACGAGAGTAAGAGGACCGGCGAACGGTGCGTACAGCACTGATAGAGGCATCGCTCGGAGCGCGCTAGCGTTCGACGGAGTCTGCAATAAACAAACTCCAAGTGATCTCCAGGTAAAAAAGCGTATACGTCTGATACTCTCTCTCTCGCTGCAACTACAATTGCGAGGAGTCGCGCTGTCAACAGTCGAGCGGCATCGGGGGGCGAGCTAGAATCGTTGCGAACGTCGCGGGAGCAGCCGTCGAAGCAACGCCGCGGAGATGGGCAGCACGGACAAGGCCGTGATCACGGGGTTCATATGCAGGCTCTGCAGTAAGATGAATCGCTTCGTGATCCATATCTACGGGGAAGAGGGCGAGAGAATGAAACTCGCCGAGAAGATAAACACCTATCTGCCGATTACGGTAATTTCTACGTGCCGCATCCTGTATCACACGATCCTCCAGGACCGCGTTAGGCATTTCGCCCGGTGCGGAACTTGATCGATCTTCACCTCTCGCACTTTGCACAGATCTTTATCTGGAGGCGATGCAAGTATCTACAAAAAGAAAAAAAAAGATCCCATGCAAGTCTATATAACTATGTAGGTATCCTGTGGTTTTTTTTTTTTGAAAGCTTAGACCACTTTACCTCCTGATGTGTTTTACAAATACAGGGCAATGTCAGATTTTGTAAGAACTATTGATACCGTCTTTTTTTTTACAAATCATTTTCTATCACCAACCACTTTATCACCTGTATAATTTGATATTTAAGGAAACATTATAATAAAATAGTTTTGTATGCATTTGTATAGGTAAACATGAATGATCCACTACCAAAGACTGCATGTTTACATTGCATCGAACGATTAGAGGCGCATCACGAGTTAATGGAACAAATCATGTACACCAGGCGGAGATTAAACACTGACAACAAGGCGACCGCAGTAGCATCCTCTTCTGCGACAACCGTAGACACAGCTCCGACATCTAGCCCACCTCCTTGTTGACATGTGCAATGGAACATAGTATATCCTTTCGCTCAAAGCGCCATTCGCCAAGCTCGGATGATTCCCATATAATTTTTCATTTCATTTGAACTGATTATAAGTGAAACGTGTAAAGGAAAGGACAGAAGGTGGAGTAAAGTGGGTAAAATGTAACATTACCTTTTCCTACGTAAACATGATATTTTCACGTTACATTACTCGTTTTGAACAAGTATTCATTAACGGTATTAAAGAAAATTATTCAATGCCAATGTCCACTACTATTTTTTGAGGGAACAAAATATCTCAAAAATATGGAAAATAATCAAATGGAACAAAAAAAATAATATAACACAAAGTTACACAAAGAATTACATTTCTTTATGTAATGTTATATATATATATAAGCAGTGTTAATTTTCAATTTGAACAAATTATATGAGGACACATTTTTTCTTGCTGGTCTATGGTTAATAACGAGCAAACTATTTGGAAGAAAGTAATACTTTAAATGTTCTGGGCAAGCGCAATAATATTGAGATAATCGAAAAAATGCATATATGTGTACAGACGCAGACATACATACACACATATGCATATATATTCACATTATAGGGATGTATAAGATATCTAGCAGTATCCAAAGTATTTACTGGTGTAATTTTAATATTCAAGAGTTTTTTGTACAATAGATATATCTATGATAAGGTCTCTCTTATTAACATGAAAAAATTATCAAAACATTAATGATTTGCTTTACTTTTTAGTTATTAAAGATATTTAACTTTAAAAATAAGAATATGTACATACTTCGAATCTTCAAAGAAACTACAAAGTAATAATAATACAAATCAAAAATTTTGATAAAAAGATTATTATTTTAAATTTGCATTGTGTAAAAAATAGTGATCTGTATTATGTAAAAATTTCTTGAGAGAAAATAATGTCGAATGTGCAATTAAAAATGATCAAGTCGGATTTTGATCATGTTAGCATGATAAATGGTAGATAAATGTCCTATATAAAATATAGGAGACATTAAATCTAACCAAATTCGTTTACAAAATTTAAATTTTATGTCTGTTATTTTCGAGATATTGTATATTTGTTCCAGTGAATATAGCGGCTGTTTTTTTTATTTATAATCTTGCTTTTTGCTACTGTGGATACATGATACCCAATACATCTCTTACAATTAGTCACTACACACACACACACACATACACACACACACACACACACAAAACACGTATATATACATATATATATTATTTTATGAATCTTACAATAATTTTTCTTTAAAAATGTTTTATAAGATTCTTTAACTATCTTTAAGGAGATACTGTTGTATCTTTAACGTATCAATTCTACTGATGTACAAAGATATATATTATACTCTTGGAAACAATCTTTATGCGATACCATATTGTATAATGTAGAAATTTCTTAGCTATACAAAATTAGGGCGTGTAAAATTAAGTATGGAAACTTATACTTGTATTGCATATAAAGAAGTAAGTCATATATATATATTTTTTAGTCATTGATTTTCACAATAAAATTTTCTGTTATTCGTTATGTTGATACACAGAACAAGTGATAAAAGAGATATTGTATATTATGTATTATGTTTATCATTAATGGTGCATTATGTTAATTAATTGCGTTTATAATCGAAAAAGATATCTTATTGAGATCTAATACAAGTAAGTGCAAAGTACAATAACATAAATATTTGTATAATTATATTGTATTAACAAGTAATTTTGCGTAAGTTTTACACAGATTTTAATCTGTTTATCTTTGTTTGCAAGCTATAATGTAATAAATAATATGTATAACAGATTTTAAATATAATTTGCGAAGTTATTTCTATTTTTATTTTACCTTTCGGTACGTTTTGATATATCCAGGATTTATGTAAATAAAAATGCAAGAGTAAGAACTAATATACAAGAGAACGTTTTATTGTTAAGATAAGATTTATTTTTTATTCACTGACACAGTTAAATGTTATGTGAAACAATGGTATTTTACTGTTTGGCGATGCAAATTCACCTTGTGCTTATCATTATGTACTATTTCACATGTATATGATTTACAGGGAGAATAATTATTTTCAAAAGACAAGAGAAAGAGAGAGAGGATGCATTTGTTATACTTTTAGTGTTTATTAAAATGTAT